CGCAACGTGTACCTCTCTGTACGACACCTACGTGACACCGATCTGCTAGAAAATGTCGTCAAGCAAACAATTCACAATCTGGTGAACAAACTTAAACGGGACTCTTAATAGACAACAAACAAAAACATAAACACAGAGTATTTACTGAGATGTTAGATAACACATTGGCCAGACTTAAACATACACCTAGAAAATCACTTGGGATGTCTAGCTCAAAAGAATGGAGTGTCCAAATCTAGTGCAAGAATGGCAACACAACTAACTGCTTAACTTTAGACCCTATAAAACGAAAGTAATCCAAGCACGCCTTGCAGCTAGCTGGGTTCATTTCTGCCGTTCGTTTCTAGTCTTGTTATCGAAGGCGAGATTGATCCGAAATTGACATTCTTTTCTGATGATGCGTAGTTTCACTTGCAGGGATACATAAATATGCAAATAATCACTACTGGAGTTCACAGAATCCACCCCCTCCAGTGAAAGTTGGTGTCTGGTGTGCTTTTAAGTGCAAGGATTGTTAGACCTGTCTTTTAATGAAACGATTGCGAAAAATATGTACAGGGCATTCCTGGGAAATTCTTTCCACAGTTAACAGAAGAAGAAAGATTCTATTGCAGACTTCAGTAAGACTCAGCTACTACCAACACTGCATGTATCTCTATGCAGGCTTCGTCCATTGTCTTTGGGGACAGAATTATCAGCAGTGGTCAACAGGTTCACCTATCTTAATATTTCTGGTCTTTTCTTCTGTCTTATTTGAAGGACAAGTTTACAACAACAAATTTCAAGCGGAAGAACTAAAAGAAAATGTTCATAGGAAAATTTCAAATATTCCTGCATAACAGCTTCAAAGGGTAAAATAAATTACCTCTTCCACCAATGCAAGGAATGTCTGTGTACAGCGAGCAAGTATTTTCAACACCTAAGTGATTTGTGAGCAAAGGTAAGAACTTCCCTTCATTCCAAACATTATCTGTCACCAGGCATGCCGATACATCTTTAAAATTTGTGCACCTCACAGCAAGCAGCACACTGGCCACTGCAGAACCAGGGAACTGGCCAACAAAGTAAAAATCCTCCCTCTATTGAGAGATGCAGCAAAGGACATACTTCATTCTTCTCTGCTGAACTGCTACCTAAATGTGGTCATGTCACAATATACAAAAGAATTCATTCAACCTATTTTTAAAACAGAAAAAGAAATTCTTCAGACACTCTTACCTCTACAATGGTGACCAACTAAGATCACTTTACAAAACCTATAGCTTCATTTGTTCTAAGTAATACACACTACAATCAATTACTTTGCTGACTTTGCAATATGACAGTACTAGTTAGGTAGGCGTAGTGTGTGTCAAGTCATTACTATTCACCATGCATCACATGTCAACAAAAGCCAATTTCAAGGAACAGTAAGCATGAATCAAGTTCTGCTTTAGAGCAGGCAAAACTGCTGAGAAATGTATGAGATGATAAAATTTGATTTCCTAGAGGAAACAATGTGCAGAACCCAAACATTTAATTGATTTCTCAAGTTCATATGTGGACTAACATCAGTTGATGATGCTAAGTTTTTAGGATGTCTTTCCATGGGCAAAACAAACAAAAATGTGAAAATCGAGAAATTTGTTCATGAAGATGGATGTCACAATCAGTGACACAGCTATGGTGTGGAAGTCAAATCTGGCCAACGACAAAGCACTGCTGCAGAACTTGTATCAGCTGACTCAGTTACTCAATGCAAAAGCAAAACCATGTCATGAGCACTAGGACCTTCAGTAGAAACTCTGGACACCTGCAATTCCTCTGAAGATCATCATTAGTGATAAAACTCAAGTTATCACTGAATGGGAGGAGATTTGAGGGCCACAAATAAACCACTGCAGGCTGCACTCAGAAGCGCAGAACAAAGGACTTCAGCATACACTTCCAACAATGGGCAATCACTAAGACTTGCTGCATCAAATGGCAAGGGAACAACTTCAAAGGAGGTAGCACAAAAATTTGGATAAATGCAGTTATCTGGGGGGAGGACAAATGTAAGGTAAACTTTTCCTTGTGCTTAACTGATCAAGCACCACACCACAAAGATGTGGAGGATGATAGCTCCCATATTTTTCAGACCTATCATTATACAAACTTTCAAGGTCTTACATTAAGCACTGCTCATACAATTCCTATTTCAAACTCTACAGTCATCATGTTGGTAGTTTTGATGGCACTAAATTAAAAAACACACAAGCGGCAGCATCTAATTGCATTTCCATACATTAGTCGACAACCAACACAATACTTTCTAGAGAACCAAACAAACTCCATGGAACCGAGTCCTACTTGAGAAACCACTAGTTGCTCAGATATTCAAGAATTTCCCAACATTTTATGAAATCTGAAGGTTCATTGCCATGTTCTATAAACCACATTTTCCTTATAGAATAAGGATACTACGCTACAAAAATGTTAAATTTTTTTAAAACAATTTTTATCTGCTGCATCTTTAGCAAAACATATGGTGAAATATGAACCTAAACCACATTTGGCTTAAAAAAAATAACTTTGGCGGGGGGGGGGCAATACCAAAAAAGGTAAAAACTTTTCAGCTGAAACAAAATGATGTGCACAAATGGAAACATACACACTGAAGACAACATACCCCAGTGGTTTCGCTGTAAGCAGAGGAGCAAATCTAGAATTACTCAACTTTAAAATTCATAATATCTTACAACTGAAAAGAAATCCCTGAATTAACTTCATTGTTTGCATCCTGTTGCATATTACTATATTATTATTATACCAGCAACAAAAGAAATCTGCCATAAACTACTTAAGTAACAGAATGAACACATAACCAATTACTCATGAAAGATAAAGACCAAGAATTAAAAACCATACGAGAAATATTAAAAAAACAATGGTTATCATCAAAAAATAATACACCCAAAACAAAGACAGAAAAATCAAATGAACCACATTCACATACAATGGCCCCAATAAAAGTACAACCACAAAATTATTCACGAACACTAACATATGAATAGCAATCAAAACTACTAACACAATACAAAACCATCTAAAACCAAGAGGGGGAACAACAAATGTCCACTCAAATAAATAGGACAAACAGGACATACATTTCAATCCAATCTAAAGAACATATCCAAACAATAAAAACAAAAACTCAAAATACGCTCAACATCTACTTGAAACAGAACACACATATGGCACAATGAACCAAATATTAAAATACTACACTCTGAAGAGAGGGGCACATCACTAAATAGTCTCAAATGATTCCAATTTATAATTTAAGTACACAAAGATTACAAATGAGTGACCTTCTTTTCAAATACACATAAACCCACATTCATCCTAATAATAAAAATACACCTTTCAAAATAATAAAACACACCCCCAAATGCCTACCACCCCCTACCAAACTATAACCAAACTAACTCCCTTGAACATCACATGACCTATGAAACATACCCACCATAATATTAAGCATTAGTTAGTACAAACAGAACCATAGCAGAGGAACAACCACTACCTAATAGCATGAAGACATGGTACCCTACACAGGACACAATACAATATACACGTAATGAAAAGAAATAAAAATTAAAGGAATTAACAGATATACAAAAAAAATTAAAATATCTACTTTCATTACAGAATAACTTTACCACCATCACTCACGGCAGAAGAAGACAGTAAACAACTTACATGCCAAAAATAAGAAACCATTTACCCCACACCATATGACTATACACGACTCAACATGGAACCATATTAGAACATCTACAATATATTTTCAGGTGCATTAAAAGAATGCAGACTACCAGAAAAAACACCTACCTCTACAACATTAAAGACTTGTATTTGACACTCAAATAAAAAAAAAATTGATTTACTCTTAACTTTTAAGTTCCAAGTTATGTTTTACATTTTAGGACTAATACTGAAACGTAACAAAATACAAGACTCGTCCAAAATTTCCTTTAACGACACTCACATGAATCCACATTAGAAATACAAATCAATACAAGTAGTACACTTCATGATGATCCAGCTGGGTTGAAACATGTAGCAAATGTACATAATAAATTAATGTTAATAGAGTAATATTGCTTTATTTATCACAAATTTGTTTTGTTGATGGCTGTATAGTAATACTATATCCCTGAACTAGCATAAATCTGGATCCTAAACCTTCAGAGCAAATCAGTGAAATTTAGACAAATTCTGACCCCAAATTCAATTATATACTGATCAGTATCTTTCATTCCTCAATTTGTAAAACATTCTTTACACAAAAAATTCTTTGTCAACTATTCCTCACTACCATAATCTGAAATAAAATCATATACCCAGACTGCAGAACTCCTCCTGATCAATTTGAAATAGTAAAACTCAAAACAGAAACAAGACTGACATTTATAACCACCATAATTTTTAAAACTGTACACCATTTCAGAACATAAAATTCTCTTGCCTACTATATGCTACAACCCTCCAGAAACCAAAATGCAGAACATTTGCAACACCTTACCATGACTTTCATAACAGAAGTATACATATGCAGCGATTCCTCATGCATCACAGTAAGACAACCAGGCATGTAGACCACCACAAAACTTCTGCACTTGAATAGTTAGTCAGACCCCTAAAGTTTCACAAGCCTGACCACTACATGGAGAAGGGTAGGTGGGAGAGGTGTGAACACAATCAAGAACTGTCACTTGAACATAATGTTGTTTAACCTACTTTAAAAACACTGATAATAGTAATTATTCATAAATTCATTAGCCTTGGAATTACATATTCAATTCAAAATGTCAAATTTGTAACTTCCTCTAAACCACGAAAAGTTTCAGCCAACAAATGAACATAAATGTCATGTTTTACAGCAGGTTCTCCCAGGTGAAGGACAAGTGTACACATACCCTCTCATACGCATTTCAAATATTCCACAACAGCGTTAAGAAACAAAATTAACTAAAAAATTCCAGTCTTGGATGCTTTCCTTCACTGTTTTATTTTCAATATTTTTGTATGGTCTGCATACTGTACAATAGAAGTTTGTTCCAAAATAAATTAAAATGTTACCTGCTATCTGAATGAGGAAGAGGACAAACCTGCAGATGTTCACATAATGAAAAATTCTAAATAAAAAAAGATAGAAAACAAATCTCATTCACAGCTTCATTACTTGCTGAGGATCAAAGAAATGTATTTAAAATTTGTAAATATCTAAATTAAATTACTACAATCAATCAAATCATTATGACATCTCAATTCAGTAATGTAACCAACATAAAACAGAATCCTAACAATATTACAAGTAATGCCTTGCCCAGCACACAGCAAAACTTCATACAGAAATACCCTTTGCGATTTGAGCAATATCACTTGTTAAAAATTCTCTTTCAACTTTTAGTACAGACCCACACCATTCTACTATGTCTTGATTTATTACGCAGTATACTCTGGGAACTGGAAAAACTGCACGCCACCAAAGCATTGCACTATTCTGAGAAACAATCCCAACATGAAATAATAAATCGAACCCGACACTTCAGGGATGCCTCCCAATAAATGCTGATTTTTCAGTCATTAAGGGTCACCTCATAAAATCACTATAAAAGACTGGAACCTCAGCAGGAACAAAAAAATTTGAAGTGTAAATCGGACATTTATAAACCCGACAGAATAACTATTCGGACCGTACATTATTCAATGTTTATTAACAAGTTACACAAATAGTATTACACAAGTTTCACTTGAAAAAATAATGAGGGAGAAAAATATACAATGAGAGAAAAAATCATAAGGTCCCTTTTCTTTGACGTTCAAACCTGGTGTCTTCCTTCACTTCCCCCTCTTAAATTATTATTCGAAGCACGCAAATAACCTCCCATATTATACACGAGTCTATCCTAGCACTCACAGAGAAGGGTAGGGACAAAGGGTGGGGAATGCCATACCATAACCAGATGGGTTCAAAACATGGTTGGCAGTGTAATAAAGCAGGGAAAGAGCGTGATTTAGCTTGCAGCTATAAGTGTCCAATTAGAATACACAGACATGAAAAGGACTGGTCTTCTGGGTGGACGAGATAACAGTGACTGAGGGAAAACGTTTTGAGGGTTTCAGGAACTTCCTGTGACCGGACAAAAGTTGCATTCCATCCCAGCAAATACCCCAACCCTTGCTTGCATGCTCAGATTAAACAGTTCGAGTTACTATTTTGTTTTTAAAGCTCACATTATAAAAAGTACACCTACTTCACACCATCGAAAAAATCTTACGTACTTTTTCCATTATTAAAAACCACCAAGTGTATGTGCAAATAATTCAAAGGGAGAGACAACAAACTATTGAACAAAGTTCTTTTCTTTTTCACGAAATATCTCTTTAATACAAAGATGCAGAGTTTGGAGTTGAATAATTAGCAACGGCCAGAATTACAGAACACCAGTGTCAGGAAGTCCCTTAAGTTGTCTGATTTCATTGTTGTTCTTGTTCTGTTATTTATTTTTTGTTTCTCTATTTCTCTTTAGAAAATGTAGAATGGACAGCTGATTTTGGATAAGCTGGGCCGCTGATGGAGGTCGAGGGCATCACATGGCGTACTTGCGCGTCCATTCCCTTGCAAGTTCATTGTATTTTTCCCTATCCGTCTTGTATATCCTAGCTATTTCTGGCACTAATGGATCATCCGGGTTTGGGTCGCACAACAGAGAGCAGATGGACAAAAGAACTGGAAAGAAATTGAAACAGTAAACACTCTCACATTAATGTTTCAAAATTCATATTGAGAGACAAACTGGGAGCAGGGAACAGAGGAAAAAGTAAATTCTTTTTAATGAGGGTGGTGATGGAGGCAACAATCCACATTTTTATATCCTGTAAATACCAACATTTATGATTAGCACACAACTCACATCATACTTATTTTAACAAATTTTAATTTTCTACTACAGTATTTAAAAATCTACAATATGAGCCGTGTGTCTTTTAAAGGTGATACTAGTGAAATCAGATGGGATGGCAGAAAAGCAGGCATGACCTACATAAAGCAAAATCACAACACTTGGGATTCTGTGCTTACAGAACTTTACAATGCAATTACCAATTTTGTGTAGCATAGCTTTAATCTTCATCACCCAAGAATAAGGGATTTAAAATCCCCCTGCACTACAGGGCTGGTGGCCAGGTTTTAACTCAGGGATACTGGTAGTATTTTTACAATGCTTAATTCTGCTACATCATGTGGTATGTCATTACAGTATGTAGCGCACACAACCAATAAGGCTTATGATAACATGCATTTTCCCCATACATTGCTCAAATTTAAAAAGCTCTGAGAAGAAAAGAAGATAGAAAAACCCTTATTTAAGGTTTCTTTGAAGACCAGAGGATTTAACCAAGACTGAGGAAACTCCTGACTGGGTGTTGACATGGGTTCACCAACTTGGAATCATAAACACTGAACACTGAATGAGGGAAACCTTATATCAAGGAACATTAATAAGGGTTCCTCTATATGTACAAACCTACAATTTGTTGAATAACGCGATTACTTATATTCAAACACACATGCATTTCATGAGACAAAATTAGGACAATGTTCAGGGACAAAATTTTTTACAACACAATCAGTCACTACTATGTAGTTTCTTAAGCATAACACAGTAAAGTAACATTTCACAGAAAATGTATTCTGGCAAACATATGCCTTTTCTAAGGATACAAAAATTATGACTGGGTTACATTTTAATATTCTGCTATACATCAGGACACAAATTATATCTGAGCTTCCATAGATCAGCCAGTACAGTGACAAGGCTATGGGCTAGATAACAAAGGAATTAGGATTTGTTTCCTGGCAGGGGCAAGAGATTTTTCTCCATTCCACAGCTTTTAGTCTGGCTTTGGGGCCCACCCAGCCTCCCATCCAACAGGTACTTGGGGCTTTTTTCTTCAGAGGTAAAGCAGCTGAGACATGAAGCCCTCCACCTCCATCTAGTGCCAAGGTTACGAACATGAAGAGCTAACGACGAGCTTCCCACGTGGCTTCAAGGTGTGATGCTTAATTAAGCACAAGAATAACTTTGTTTCACATATTATATTTACTAATACATTCCATACAGAATTTCATCCACTGTGAACATGCAAGAATGAGCAACCAATTTTTGCAGTGAGATCAAATTCCCCTCCCCCCCAAATTGTGGTACTTCAGTATTCAATGGTAACCCAAGTAACATTTTGAAACTCTACTGCCATGTTGCCTGTCACATTAGCACTGCAAACTGCAGCAGCTTACTTGCAAAATCAAAACGTTTTTACATATTTATTTTTGGAAACAAAACTAAACACCTACTTTCTCAGTGTGGAACCAAAGGAACAAAACCGAAAGCTTAACCTGGCAGACTTGCGGTTGAAGACAAATCTGAAGGTCTGTCTTCGGAACTTGCTTTTGAAAATACATTTATATGTGTAACATGATGGCAAACATTGCACTAAAAGCCAAGTAGAATTTTGAAGTTACTCAGGTCAGTCTTCAATATGTGAATACCTGCATATGTAATACTCAGGTCTCCGGCGTACTGTTACTACTTAAACTACTCAATACTTGAACTATACTTGGTGAATCAAACTGATATTATTCAGCATGGCTACAAAGTTACAAAATTCCATCATTTATAACCACTTGATATTTAAAATGATTTATGGTCAAATTATCCTCAAGACACTTACCTTTAGAAATTGTAAGAGCTGGAGACCATTGTGATCTCAAAATATCCAAGCAAATGCTACCATTACTATTTATATTTGGGTGATAAATTCTGGTTGTGAATGCAACCTATAAAAAAATGAATTAATATCTGATGAATAAAACAACAAAGGGCTCTACAAGTTTGTAATGATGGTACATTAATACAAATATTATGTTTCTGGACAATATCCCTCGACCTGTTTTTAACTAAACACCACCCTCTTTATATTTCAGAACACATATAAAAAGGGATATGTTTTTTAATAAAAGGACAATTGCTAATGTCCAGAAACATCATATTTGAAACAACAAACAGTTGTTAAACATCACTTTTACTAGTGTTCAGCATCTCTAAAGGTATAAAGCAAAGCAGTCCAATTCATGGCCCAGGGACTGCATGCAGCAATCAACTGGTTTAACACAGCCCACACAAATATTCTTCCAATCCCCCAAAATAGATGACAAAATCCTTCCCACCAATTTTAATGCATGGCACAAGTCTTCCCAAAAGAACTTTATGAAAAGTTTTGATTTTGATATGCAACACTGCAAAATTAAATTTAAGTAATGTCTATGAACCTTACAGGTTCAATTATTTTTAGGTAATTGCGGATCATAGATCTCAGCACCGCAGGGCACACATTAATAATAATAAATGTAAAAAATATATTTTTTTATATACAATGCAGCTCCTAAATGGGACAAAGATGGACAGCTTTAGTATAAAGAATTATGGAGAAATTTTCAAAGCCAATGGGGCACGTACTCCTCAGAATAACAACAGTGCAATTACATTGTCTGGCTGAATAAAACATAACACTACAGCTTCTCAATAAGCATCCCAGGAGAACTGCGAACTCAAAGCCAAAGAGGCAGACGCCGAAGAGATCAATGAATTTTCCTAGCCCCCCTTCTATGGCAGAACATTAGAAAATGGAAAATGTAAGCTCCTACACAGAAAACAAAACATTACATTTCCACATATAACATGAAATATTAAAGAGTTACGGCTTATCTGCCATTTAGAAGAGGCTACTGCTCTTCTGGCAACAGCATTACAATATACAGCTCAATAATGCTGCTGCACAATTACATTAGAGACTACAATTCAGCCAATTCTGAATCCATAAGTGTAGCCACAGGCTCTTGTGCTTACTAGCCTTGAACCCCAAAAGAGAAATTTGTATGTACAGCACAAAGGTAACGTGAACTGATTCCTATTGCAGTCTATGAGTGACACTGTGATACTGCAAAGTTCAATAAATTGTGTGGAGTGTAGGTGACATCAACAGAATGACACTGCTTTTTAGTAGTTCTCAGATGAGGAATGCTGATAACAATCATAATCACTTTTCTTGGGTAGTTTCCTATGGTGGGCTACCTGAATTGGGGAAGAAAGTGGACAGGTTAAAAGCACAATATAAATGGACTCACGCTTCAAAGCAAGCTCCATCATCATCAAAATGAAGTGGTGGTTTAGTCTTGTGTGATGAAATGCAAATATACAACTCACTTCCACAATTTATTGCTAAAAGTGTTGATAATATACACCTTCACATAATAAACATGTTTGCACCTGAGATTCTCATGGATGGCTACAAAGACTTCTATCTTCTGGGATACAATGCCATGTAGTCCAGAGAAAGTCTGCCAACATTTCTGAGGAACCTATCACTTCTGTCTCTGGGGTCGAAGTGTAAGCCAAGCAAGAAACTAGCATTAAGCAGGCAACAAACGGAGCAAACTGCGTGTGGAAATATTCAGGGTTACATATGATAGCAAGGAACCTGTAAGCCAACCAGCCAGCTTCCAATGGCTCTTCATGAGGAAGAAACCCCCCCCCCCATCGGCAGCAGACTAGAAAAGAAATTACCCTGGGGCCTGAAGAAGAGACACAGTGTACCCACTGTCTGCAAGGGGCACACAGGTGCACTTTTCAGGGTTCAAGGTAGTTCATTTTTTCTTGTCTGATACTTGCTGTGCTGTTTCTGAGACATCCATGTTCTTACAAAACCGTTGGCTGACTTTCATTGGGCTACATGGCATTATATCCCAAAGACAGACCTCTTCAACATGTTTGCAGTTTTGGATTCAAACTCAAAAAGAAGTGCGTGCTGTACACTAATATACCAAATATTATCGACAAATAAAATATACAAAGCACATTTAGCACATAGGGCATAACAGATGCACTCATCTGCTCATCGGTATAAAATAAGAAATTGGGCTGAGTGGGAACTTTTTTTATTTGTCCATACTTTCTTCTGCTTTTTTCTCCACAGCTGTCAAACACAACAGTATACATTTCATAAAGAGACAAAGTATGTATGTTCTGTGATGTTAAGTCGGATGGTTTAAAGCAATTGCAATGGCACAAGTAGGCATGTTCCCTCGTGCAGATATATCTGCCAAGCAGAACCTTTGTCTTACTGGTTAAATGAGCCATTTGCTGACCCAAAAACATTCCTACCATAAACCAGAGACAGACACCATGGCTTCACATTTCAATCCAGAATCACTGATACATAAGAACCTTACAAATGGCACTCCAGTACTTAAAAACAGTCCTACAAACTATTTTTAATCACCATATTGGCATAAACATCCACTAATTAATTACTGTAAAAATAAATAAGAAATAAACTGCTTTCCATTGTCAATCTACTTTATTTAATTATTTAGTTGCTATGCTGAATCACCACACTCACATAACATACAAGGGGGTACCCAAAAGAAACCGAACTTATTTTTTTTAAACTTATTTATTCAAATTTTAAGCACAAACCTTCAATCCCCTTCAAAGTACTCTCCACTTACACTAATACACCTGTCTAGTCTTTTATTCCATTTTTCAAAACATTGTCTAAATTCATCTTTTGAGATGCTTGACAGCGCCTCCATCGTTTTTTCCTTCACCTCAGCAACATCAGCAAAACGCTTTCCTTTCATGTCTCTTTTCATTCGAGGAAACAAAAAAAAGTTTTGATTATTTCGGGACTCTTCTTTCAAAGCACAGCATGCTTCCACGCGACCTTGTTTTTGTTCAGCAGTCGTGGCACAAATTTCGCAGCCACCCTTTTCATTCCCAAATCTTCTGTCAAAATTCACTGAACTGAGCTCCAAGTCACTCCCGACAGCTCCACAATTTCTTCAATGGTCCGTCGTCAATCTTCCTTGATGATTTCACGAATTTTTTCAACATTTTCATGTGTTCGGGCTGTGGAAGGACGACCAGATCGAGGTTTGTCATCAAATGACATTTCACCATTTTTGAAATGGGGAAACCACTCAAACACTTGAGTTTTCCCCATAGCATCGTCCTTGTACGCTGTTTTTAACATTTCAAGAGTTTCTGTTCCACTTTTCCTGAGCAAAAAACAGAATTTCACGCTGTTCACGAAAATCAGCCATTGCAAAAACGATGATCACACAAAACAGTTGTCACTATAAACTCTGCCGAAACTAGTCCTTACCTTCTGAAGCAACGGTAGTCGGCTTATCGACTCAGGAATGTTAGCTCTATGCGCTCATAGCGGCAAAACGCGGTTCTACAAAAGCTCTGCCCACAAAAAATTAGTTCGGTTTCTTTTGGGTACCCCATCGTACAGTTGTATACTGAAAGAATATTATATACACTGAATCACATAAACCAATTCCACTTAAACTCAGCTCTTTCTACACTGCGATTGCTAGCACTTCATTTCACTAAATAAGCCTGCATCAAGTGGCAACTTTGCTCAAATAAACTCTGGCAGCTGCATCTTGAACACAAAATCACAAAACTTTCTTGCTACTTATTTCTGTGATATGAACAAGTAAAAAAGTAAAAATAAAGTTATCCCTGTAACAGACCATTGTGAGATGTTGAGGGTCCCACATTATCTAGACAATCAGCTCAAAGATGGCAAGGTTGTCAGCCTTACGCACCGGCCGCACTTTACTCCCCAGGAAAATTATTTAATTAATTCCTGGTACTCATTTCTGTTGAGAGGCTGAGTCGACACCAGGGGCATAGTGTGGCTGGAAGGGTTAGGTCAATTGAAAAAAGTGATATGAACAATACTTACGAAAATGTTCAGAACTTCTCCAGTGACCAAGATGGTCAGGTTTATTCAATCAATTATTCCATTTTCAATAACAGGGGGCCATTTTGAAAAGCTGCTGTTTATGGTTCTAACGCTATGAGAAAACATCTGCAGCCCCATCTCATTTGTATCTTCCACATTAAAGATGGATACACAATAACATTCTGATTAATGGTTCAAGGAAGTCTTAAAAAACATAGGGAAAGCCATTACCAATTTATTTTATAACTAGTGAGGAAAAGGAACTTTTTCCCTATATGGTGTTAGAAGGGTGGAAACAAAATGTCTTACCTTTGGAGGTTTGAAGGGATAATCTGTGGGGAAGTGAATTGTTAAAAAGAATACCCCTCCTTGGTACGGACTGTCAGGCTGCAAGAAACAATAACAAAATATTACATACAGCAGTAAAAAAAAAGTTAGGCTTCATCCAAAACATCTCTGAGGCAAGTAGGCAACCTTACACAAGTAAAATTTTGTGTTCAATGAAATTTCCAATGTTGGTTCTCACTGGAAGGTGAAAACAGAATCTAGTACTTTCTAATGTTGACATACTGATCTACATCATTCTTAAAGATGTTTCAGACACAGTCTAACATTCTACTATATTACCCAAGTCATATGCTCCAGTTTCCATAATCAATATTTATGAATTCCTAGCATGCCTTCACAAAAAGAAAACATCCATTTATTGGATAAATATTTTCATGGTTGTTTCCCTTCCAGACTTCAAATGTACACAACAGTAATTTCAGAGGCCCCTATGCTAAAGCAGAAGAGAGTGATCCAGAAAGTGGGAGAGGCAGGAAGTACAGAATGTGGCAAGGCAGTATTAACAGCAAAACATATCTGCGGCCAATCACTGTTATTCGGGAAGTGTTGTCACAAGTCATTTGAACAGCAAAGGTATACAGGTTCTCGATCAACTGCTCATATTATAATTCTGGTAGTAATCATATCATGCAGCAACCACCGGTAGTGTGTGTATCTTAATTTCCTTGTGTCAGAACTATCATGCCTTTACACCAATTGGTGAAACCTATGAGGTGAGGAAATTGTATAAGAGAACATAAAAGACTCATGCAATGAAACCATAAGAAACAGCAAATTAAAAAGTGTCAATGCATGGATATGAACATGCATGAACATATAAATCAGTTAGGTGTCCTAACCACAGTCAATATAAATATGCTGTTCTCAGTTCAAGCACATTGTAAAATGGAATGTTAAACAGTGATGAAGTTAACACAACAAAATATCAGCTACAGACTCAGCATTTAGTGTTAAGAAGTCAAAACAAACGGTGAATGGTATTGTCAATTCATGTAGCAGAGTGGATCACAACTATCTACTGCCTATAGATAAAATCAAACATACCACTCCATAAGATTTTATGCTCTCATGGTGGTGACTATACAGACAACCATTTCTGGCGAAATCACGTTGTGTAGCCTGGTAGAAATTTCACTCATCTGCTTGCTCGTCTGTCTAGTTCTTTAACCATGATGACAGAGGCAACATCATCCTCCAAAACTTTAGTGAACTACCAGACTACATGACATAGCATCCCAGAAGACAGAAGTACTCTTCAAACTGTCACTGTTAGGGATTATTTTCAAACTTGTTCCCCTGCTAACCTATCTGCATAATGATTATCATTAGATTACAAGAAAACTTACTATGTAATTCATCCTTCATTTGATGATGCTGACTTTAACTCTGACTACACAACATCTAATGACTGGATGACAGCTAAAAGTAAACTGAGATGGATGTGGAAGGAACCAGCCATGAACCTAATTTAAGGTACTATCCTACCAAGTGCCTGGAGGGACTCGGGGAAAATCACAAACAACCTCAGCATAGTCAGCGTTCTGGCCACAAATCAGCCCTAGCACCGCCCAAATGCAATTCACATGAGTCAACTTGCTCGGTTCGTATTCTCTAGTGGCTGGCATGCTGCTTGCAATACAGCAGATTCCTAACTCTGTTATGTTATTGCCAACTGATGATGAAACAACTGTTTTACAAACATGGTAACAAATGCAGGGAAAAAATTCAGCTCGTAAAGAATCATACAGTATGATTTGGAAATGATGAAACGTCTGTTCTTAGCTCACTGAATTAAAACTTGGATAATACAGTGCATATTTAACTTTGAAAAATAAGGTAATTTCTCAAGCATTTAGAAGTTTCTAAAGATAAACACATAAAGAAAAAGTAAAGGTATCCCTGTAACAGGCCATGGTGGCCCATAGGGTTCTGAGATGTTGAGGTTCCCACATTTTCTGGACAATCTGCTCGTAGATGGTGGCATGGCTGTCAGCCCTACACACCAGCCACCCTTTACCCCCAATACTCCTGGTACTCAATTCTGTTACAGACTAAGTCGACCCCAGGGCCATACTGCGGCTGGAAGGATTAGGTCAATTGAAAAAATCCAATGACCTCATCAGGACTTGAACCCACGACCTTTCAGCTTGCACCATAGTGCCTCAACCAAACCGTGTGCCCCCAAAGATACACACACATACCAATAAAAAACATTTATTGAGTATTAGCTTTAGTAAAGAATTAACTGTGACACTAAACATATGCTCAGTGAACATACCTTTCAAAACTGAAACCTAAACTGTCTTTTGCATGCAGCTCTTAAGGAAAGTTTATGGACTGAAGTTACCAATGCAAAAGTCAGCAAATAACAGGTAAACATTCATACTGACATTTTAATACAACAAAAACCCACTTTAGTTATACCTGGTATAAAATTATACTATTTGGGACATGTCTGCTTTAACAGCAACATCTAGCCACAAATGTAGGTGTTCATTAAGAACGAACCCCTTCGATTAGCACTTTTAAACTGACATAATGTTGTAAAAGCACACTTACTGGCCCCATGATTGTAGCCTGCCAATGGAATACTGAAACCAAACAGAAAAATACGTTTTAAATATGAGTCCAATGCACATAATTTTTCTGTATTCATGAAATGCAGTTATACAAATCACAAATGGGCAAATCAGTTGTAATTATAATACTCTAGGCATATGAACTTTAAAATCATTCGTTCATTTGTTCATTCTGAACCAATTAATATGCATATGAGGGCCATACAAAATGTCATGGGCCATTTCATTAGTCAGTAGTAAACTTCCTGTGACTCACGCACTGACATGAACAGGGCCTGTTGTTACGCAGCCACCTTGAAAATATGTGTCCAGTTCATTTTCCGCTAAGTGCTGCACGTTTGTTGGTGTTCCCATTCAGCTGTGAGCATTCACTGTGCTTATACTAAATCACAGTATGAGACAGAACAACATGTTCCTTGCTGCGGCAACCTTTTATATTCTCATTAAACTTGTTACACTCAACAGACATTACAACTCATTCATGTATTAAGAAGCAAGGATGTCCCTTCTAAAGGCTTCCCATTAAAAAGATATCTAATGGGACAGTCTACACAACAATAATTCTGAAAGAGACAAAACAGACACTACTTCAGTATTTCAACCTCTGCGAATCATCCCATACTTGAATCTCTCTTCCTCCATTTCCCACTGTCCACTGCAAACCCCATTCAATAATGCAACAATAACAAAACTGACCTCTAAGAACTGCCTGCTTAAGAACAGAGGCACTACATGGAGACAAGAGTTTCATACCAATCGAATGTTTCAATGCCACAACATATTCCTTCACATCTCTGCATCTGAATATTTTATGAAGTATGTTGAACATTATACAGGGCTTTCTTACATGATGCAGCCATTCTGCCATAAGCCCATCAGATGTTTCCACGATAAATGCAGCTCACAGTCAAACACATTAACAAGATTCTAAAGGGTTCTGATGATGGTGTACAACATTCAGAATTTTTCAGTTTTTGGACTTTGTCCATCCTCTGATATTTAGAAAACACGGTGTTTCAGAAACTGGATCTGTTTCCATCCTCAGTGGAGTAGGAGACACCTACTCCGTTTTGTCCCTCAGAAAGACCTAACATCACCGACAACCCATGTCACCATAACTACAGCTATATAAACACCTGAGACCGGGCTTTGTCAAAAGGAGATAACATGAAAATATAAATTGTGATAAAGCATGCACTGGCCTGAAACTACAATACAGAGGTGAAATTTCTTTGCAACAAATCTAGCCAACACGCCAAATCCATGAAAACCATGGCACAGAATTTGTGAAACCATTTTGAGCCTACTGCTGGCACCATCTGGATTACATCATTACAGAGAGCTGTCACATCATACTGGATCTTCCCCGTGAGTTGCTAACCTCACTGCTGATAAGGGTGATCCAGGTAGCAGACATGTCCAAACTGGGCTGGCTGATCAGATTGGTTAAGCATGCCACATCCAGCGTCCTATCAACTGGGTAAAGGGGACTCTTTCCTGCAGTAAATTGGCCAGGGCATAAAGCTGACCAGCCACCAACATCTAGTGCAGGTTATGAATGTGCAGAGCTATAACTCCACTCCCCCATACATCTACATGGAGTGGTGCTTATTCAAGCACTGGCACAATTTTACTCTTTACCCAAACACACTAGCAGGTAAAGAACAGTGAAAGTTCTATCTATGCTTACGCAACATACAATGAAGATGTATGGGGACATGAAAGAATGTTCAATATCCTAATCCAAAACTAAACCAAAGAACAGTGGTCAGCTTCACACATTGGCCAATACCTTCCAGAATGAAAGAGTGACTCACACTCACTGGACTCACACCTCAGTTCTGTCTACTGGCTTCATACCAAGTGGTTATGTCTATGTAAAAGGCCATCTATAAACGAGTGATACTAAACAGACTGGTCTAGCATTAATGCGCTAAACTTCTGTTCAGTAGCTGTTTGATCCCAATCTCACCTTGGACACTGGCTATCCTGACCACAGTCTTTCATGGTTTTCCTCATACCCTCTAGGCAAATGCTGGGACATATCTTGATTAGGTCATGACCACTGTCTTCCAAATTATAACCATGTCATCATTCCATCTGACACTAGAGTGTCTGAATACTGACAAAGTTAACAAGGTAACATCCCTGTCCTCAACAAATTAAGAACTAAGCCATGAAGATATATGGAGGAGTGGATGCATAGATTCACATTTTCTTTTCCTTGGCACTAGTTGAACGTGAAAGGTCACCTTCACGCCCTGGCCACTTTAACCCTGGGGAAACAGTCCCTGGTATCCATTGGACAGGAGGTTGGGTGCACCCTGGAGCCAGTCTGGATGATTTGGAGAAGAGAAAATTCTTGACCCTACCAGGACTCAAGAAGTGGCATGCGTGTCAGAGTGTGAGGTATCATAAACTGTGAAGTGACGCAGTTCAACAGTCTGAACAAAATATTATTGTATATAATGTGATTATATTTACAATATCACCAAGTCTCAAGGTTGAAAAAAAAACTACACGTAAATCCTCTGAATTTCATAACATACGAGTAATAAAGATTATATTTATCATTTAATGACAAAATAATCACAGTTAATTTTCGTTTGTAAAATTTCTCTTTTGTGTATATGTAGAAAATTTTATTGTCTTTCAGGTTGTTTTTAGTTTGTATTTCTATGTTGCATAGAACAGAAAATATGTAGTTTTTTCACAAAAATTTGCAATGTTAAAGAATTGGGGTGATTTGAATGCCAGCTGCAGAGGGCTCCCAGCAATTTAAAAGTCTGTACGTTACAGGTTAAGCATGCCAATTGTCCTCTCAGGATCTTGCAACTCAACTATCTCCATCATGCTATTCCTAGGGGTAGAAAAGGATAACGTGAGCCCCCTACCAATATAAATATGATCAATTCAACAGATTTATAAAATCTATGAATGTTCCTATTTTAGAAGAGACAACACAACTGATAGAGAAATAATAGTTTGCACCAATTTTCCGAGATAACCAATTTCTTAGTTATAATGCATAGAAATAAAAGCACTTTTCATATATTCGGTATTAAATAACAACCTACAACAATGTTACTAGAATAGTACTGTGATTATTACAATTTGTGATTTCAAATCAGCAATTCATATACAAAGTCCTAAAGTTGCTACTCTGTCCTGTGTCCTTACCCTGTCAATATGTGGCAGAGTTGTTAGTAAGCATAGACAGAACCGCCAGGCATCAGCAACAGGTACACACCTATGCTTCAATCAGCACTCCTCAAAGAATCCATTGCTGATAGTATGTATATTTATTTAATTAAACTATAAATTAATGCATAAGAGCAGATCAATGGAGGGGTTACTTGTGGGAACATTACCTAAATATGAAGTCTTTCATTTAAGGTTATGCCAATTTGTTGCATTTCAGATCATCAAGAATGTGTAGATGTGCATTATGACAAGGGAAGATCGCAAAATGTGCACGGGGAAAAACTTGAATACATGGTGGTAATGCTGAAATATTATATTGATCCACTAGCAAATAAATTAAACAGCTGTCAGTAAAACTTACACAGCCTCAGTCAGTGCTTATTTTGTATTTGAGAGCCTATCATTCAATGACTAGACTAGTTGTGACTAAAAGAACTGTAGATAAGCAGAAGTTGGGTACATTTGTTGAAGGCTTACTTTATAAGCAACCTCAGGCAAAAACATTTCCTCTGAATTGCAGCAATGTTTACTGCATGCCATTATTGCACCAAGTTTAGTATATGTGGATAAATGTTGCTGCCTTTCCAGAACATTTCAAATTATTGAGGTTAGGTATTTTTACCAAAATTTTTCATATCAATAAATTCTTTACAGAGTACAAAATCTTCACACAAAACACATCTTTTTCATACCATCAAGTCATGTTTGATAAAGCAAAATTAAACCTATAATATGAACTTGTATCATTTAGAATCAAAATTTTTACCTGCTTTTGGTGTTTTAAAAAAGTGTAACTTTCTGAACCTTTAGCAATACTAAAATGTTTTACTCATGACTTCTCTTCCCTCTACAATGCAACACACTTTTATTTTATATGACACCAAACTAACATTCAACTCACTAGAAGTCAGTTAAAATGTTCTTAAAATGTCATTAAAATATATTCTATTTCTGGCTACATGTTTTGGCCTCACAGGGCCATCTTCAAGCAACACATTTTGATGGAGCCTACTGCACTGTGCTCACTTATGTCAAGAGTACTCGTTGAGGTATGTCATCATTATTCTCAATTTTGAGAATGTCTGTTCTTTTTCTAGCTTCATATTGTGGCTTTTCACTGCCACTTTGAGTGTGCTGCTCCACTGGGAGTGTATACCTTGTATTGATTTGGTGTTCCCTGTAAACGTCTACCAAACTATACAACAATACATGACCCACAAGAGAGTACAGTGGCTGAATTTTACACAAATATGAAATAGTGCAATATAAAAAATATTAACGAAGTCTCACTTTATGCATGTTTTAAATAATGCAAATCCCAAAAAATCTGGCAAGAATCGCATGTCTCAACACTTATCTTGAATTATCGAAGGTCTTCAAGAACCCATGCCTCATATAAAATGCAACCACACTGTACTTCTCAATACTATATGTGAAAAACATGAACTGGTAACGAGAATCAACAACACTTCTAGCAAGTTATCTTCAAGACTGTGAAGCATGACCCATGTGGGAAAACATCAACTGGTAAGAAACCCATTCCATATTCAAACAGCATTCAACACCTACCATCCAGGTTAGTAACACTGCAGAGTAGAAGGTTAAGATACAATTCCCACATGAAACATTGAAACAACAATGAGGATACCTAAGCACTAGAATGAAATATAATGGAAATCACCATCTAAGGGAAGCTGAGCATATTTATATCATAACACAATTACTGAACCTGTATTTTCCCCCCGTGAACTATTTTCAGTCGACCTTACCCAAAACATTTCAGTTTCCTCGAATAAAACAATAAACTACACATTTTTCCAGTGTAATGCTTCACAAAATTTGCTGTAGTAAAATACTTAAAGTTCCCTGCACCTACCATCAAATTTAAAGCATCTTACATCTGCATCTATTTTAAATAAAGGAAAAACTTAACAAAACAGACTAATGTGTAAGTACTATAAACATATTCCAAACACTGGCACTCATATTTTACCATACCCTCTTAAGTGTGCAAGGACCTAATTCAACACACAAACATTATCTATTAACAAACCTACTTACAATCGTCTCCAACAGGCCCTGCTGAGCATTGTGCTGGTGGATCCCTACCCAGATCTTGCAATTCCTAAAACAGAAACCCCAAACAGTGTGATGCAATTATGAAAATAAATGAGATACTGCAGCAACATCAAAGGATTAATTCATTTCTTCCGTGAGCACATTTGTTGGAAAAACACTTTCACGTTCAGAAGAATATGGCTAATGTGTGGGGAATTATTAATACGGTTAATTCACATGTATCACCTGCCGATGACTGGTTCTTACTTCCTACAATTACTCATCACAGAACTGCCAAAATCCAGCTTCACACTAGCTCAAACTCACAACTGCTACAACGGAACCTTTTAAATTTGAAAGAACAAACATTTCTAAACTTACTCCTACAAAAAAAAACACCATAAACATGCATCACTAGAACATTTATTCCAGCTGCCATCTCAAACACAGCAACGAGATGTTCAATCCTTCGTTCACATTGCTCAGTAGAAAATCGTTAAGGGCGTTAAACTCTCATCCTCCTAACTCTACACTCAGAATACGTTACTAAGATAAACTAACCTAGAAGGAAAACTGTACTGTACCTTATTAATTCGTTTTAATGCCATTTGACAATCTCTATATGATAATTTCCTGGCTTTCAACCAGACAATGAAACCGCTTTCCTAGGCAACCCTTGATTAGGTAATGTATAAAATGGCCACCTCGTAACGCAGTATACTACGTCAGTCAAAGGAAGATGTATACGCTCTGTAACATTTGCAACTTAAACAAATAAATGTTTACTTTAATATGGTGGTTATTATTAATTTTTGAAGGAGGCTGTATATCTTTCGTCTCTATCCTGACATAGACACAGAGAAAATAGTTATCAAGATATCTACTTCCACCCTGGGGTAAGCTTCCACGGCGTTCTTCTTCCGGTTTCGTAGTTTTATGTACGTTTCAGTAGAAAGGGAAATATAGGCTACGTTCGTTTCATTTCATTTCCATGGAAATTGAATAGATGGAAGTTTAAGAGGTTATCCATAGATGTCAAAAGGTTGTGATTCAACATACAATTACTTTAACCGCCACTTTCAAAATTACAAATTGGAATGTTACACACCACAAACCTATGTTCTCGTTTGAATAAGACTAATAAGTATTTACATGTTTGGGTTAAAAAATATCGATGTTTAACAGTGAACATTTTTTGCTGTTACATCTGGAAGAAGGACCTGAAACTTACTTACATTAAACTGTAAAACAAAATTGTGACTTTCCCTACAATGATATAAACAATACTTAATTTCAAACAAACTCCGCGGTTTTAGTCCGCAAGCGAACTACTATACCGATCGAGCTACCGCCGCTTGTCGGCGACGTTAGTGCCAACTTAGCGGATAGATGGTATCGCGCGGTCAGCGCAACGGATCCCCACGGTCGTTAATCACGGTTTCATAGACCAGAGCCGTTATTTCCTTGAAGTACTTCCTCAATTATCCTCAGGAGGCTGAGTGGACCCCATTCCAGACCCACTACTTCTCAGAAAATCTGGTAGCGCCGGGAATCGAACCAGGATCTCTGTATCTGTAGCCTGAAACTCTGACCGCTAGACCACAGAAGCGGTCAGTACTTAATTTCACTAAGCACAAACAGTATGATCGTCTATATTAATGCATCAAAAATGTGTCCTATGTGCATACATTAATCACATCTACTATGGATTCCTCTGGTCATAAAATCATGAAATACACTTCTTTGTGGTAGGATATAACTTTGCTACTTTTTATATATAACCTTTGTTCATTAATTTGTTACCAATAATACCCTTTTCACCATAAGAACTTTCTTTTAATTGTTCTATCCAAAAATATACTGGAGAAACAGGCATATGCTGAATTCCCACACCGCAGAAGCATCCAAATTCCTGAAGATCTACAGTTTCAAGCAGCACTCCTTTTCTAAAAACATATTTGCTAGTCCTGTCATGCATGGTTTTAGGCTCAAGGTCAAAACATACAATATGCCAGCTGATGTTCGACTGTCAATAAGTTTGCCAATACATGCCCATTATTTGCCAGTATATATCCTGGCTGTATGGAAGCACTGTTCTTAAGCAGATAAGTGCCTTGATGACTCCACAGTGAACTGCGATTGATTGACTGACTGACTGACGGACTGACTATATTGCTGCTGGTCCTCGCCAGCACAAAGATTCTAAATTCCAAGTCCCACAGGAGTCATAACCATAATTTACTTTCTGGTGGCTCTGGGAGCCTTTATCCTACAATATTGTTAGCATTCCAAATAAAATAATATTAGATGCTTTTAGTACCAACCCTGGCTAAAACAGTAGATACGCTAACAAAGTTTCCAAGGTTTCCTTTATATATACTTATTTCTACATTAAAATTTAAAACAGGCAATGGCCACTGTCCTATAATTCCTAACTCAATATTTCATAATCCTTCTACATATACAGAAATGTTTGTAATGGTGACTGAAAACTGTTATTATCACAGCAACAAATTGTCAATTGTTAACACACTGAAGATCACAAATGAATAAGCAGTCATTTGTTTCAGTGTATTGTGCCTATTCTGTGACTAATTGTAATATTCCAATATGAATATGTGAAGTATAATTACAATTTATCATGGAATGTAATTTACTTTTTAAAGATTTAGAAAATGTCTTTTATTTTCACAACATGAACTTAGAACATGCCCACAAGGCCAATTCAGTAATATTGCATTGCAAGCTCAAATCTCGAACCATCAGGATAATCCATGTGGACACATGATATGTCTATGTATGTAACATGATAAAAATATAGCAATACAACATCCTAAATTCACATCTCCATGAAGTGTGTAAGATATATTTGAATAAATTCTATCCATATATGCCTCCTGCTAACTTTAAGTGTATCGGCAAAAAAAAATAAATGATAATTTTCTCTGCATGTGTGCGCCTGCTGCCATTTGTATCTTGACAGCAGACCCTACTTGGAACTAAACTGAACAGGAAAATGTGTCCTTTGAAAAGGCCTTCATACAATGGCATCTACACTTATTTTAATTTGTCCAACTGTTAAAAACCTCTTCACTTATATAGGTGACAAACTATTTCCTAAGCAGAAAATTGTCTTATTCTTGTAAAGTGTATACCAAATACAGATATATTACACAACATTTCTTTAATTAGTGATGTAAAAAAAAAGGCAAAGCTCTCTCTGTAACAGGCCGTGGAGACTCATAGGGTTGTGGGACAATGAGGTTCTCTAGACAGTCGGCTCACAGATGGCAGTGAGGTTGTCAGACTTACTCACTGCTTGCCCTTTAACCCCCACAGAAATTCCTGGTATTCATTTCTGTTAGAGACTGAGTTGACCCAAAGGCCATAGTGGGCTGGAATGATTAGGTAAATTGAAAAAAATCAAATGACCTCACTGGGACTCAAAGTGATGTAGCATAGTGCCTCAACCAACTTAGCTACTGTGTACCCCAATTAGTGATGTAATGCCCATAAACTGTTTCTGAATAGAAATAAGGTTATAACTAAATAGGCATGAATTACATTGCCCCATTTTACAATAAACCTCTAAACCTTACAGTTTCTTCTAAATAACCTCATTGTGAGTTGCATTAGTATAAAGGAACCACTTTCTTTAGAATCAGGTAGGCCATAACAAATACAAATCCTGCATTAACATTTTTAGTTTACTGTTGATTTCCACATACTCCTGCATTGAGACCATATTTTACATTTTTATTACACATGATAGTTTCTTTATTGGTATACCATCATTATACATAGGTTGGATAAAAAGTAGTGGCAATGCCTCTATAGTTCTGAAATTACTTTATTACCTGAGGTAAACACATTTACATTCCTTCAATATAATCGCCCCCCCCCCCTCTTGTCTAACACCTTCTGCCAAATTTGTGGAAGGTGTCGTACACCATCAGTGCGTCCACTTCTGTTGATGTCGAGCAGTGACCGCCCTACAGCACAAATAATCTTCTCTCTTGTGTTGTAATGTAACCCTCACAGTGGTTCTTTCATTTTGGCAAAGATATCATAATCGCACGGACTCATATCGGGTGAGTATGGCAAATGTTGCAGTATCTCCCATCGCCAGCAGCAAAGGAGATCCTTGAGAGCATCAGCAGTATGAGCCCTTGCTTTTTCATGAAGGATGATGGGGTTCATTGCCAACAAGTGTCATCACTTTCTCCTGAGTGCTGGACAAAGACGATTATGCAGGAAACTGCAGTAGTAGGCAGTGTTTACTGTCTCGCGTTGAGGTACAGTGTGGTCCGTCAATGCCATATGCCACAAAGAACACTGCCTTCAAAATTAGTCTGTGTAGGGCGCACTTTCTTTGGATGAGGAGAGCCAGGATGCTTCCATTCATTGGATTGTCACTTCAAGTCGTCACCTTCCTTCTGGTACCGGTCCAACAAGTCCTGTGCAATTGCATAACATTGCCACTGTTGCACCTCGGACACTGTATGGGGTACCCAACGCGCTGCAATTTTGTGGTATCCAAGAATATTTTGCAGAATGTGGAGCACGGTTTTGTGACATATGCCTACCTCAGCAGCTAACTCCCATGCAGTCCATCAACAATCAAAATCCAGCAAAGAAGCAAGAAGCTAAATTGTGTACAATATTATATTTAAGCATCCTGCTGCACTCTATACGATATATGATATAAACTCCATCCTAAGTAACAAAGATAATGTATGAATCAGACAAATATCAGCGAAGTAGATTCTGTTAGCAACAACAAAGGGAACAACTGGGAAGACCTGTGTTTTAAATTTTAAACTAAGTGCAGTGTAACAGCTACGTGAGCGTACACACCTGAGGATGGCCGTTTGCGGCCGAAACATGTAGTGTAAAAGAAAGCAAGACGAAAGACCTACAATAAATTGTTGCACTTAGGACGGAGTTTATATCATATATCCTAAATTGTGTGGTTGTCAACGTGGGGTCATCCTGAATGATGGCTGTCCTGAATGGCATCCCTCCCTTCACAGAACAATTTCACCCATCATGCCACTGTGCGATATGGCAAAGCAGCATCATCACGTGCTTCTCGCAGTCCCTGATAACAGTTTTGTGCACTACGACCTCGTGGAACTTCAGTTTTTATCCAGGAGCATTGTTCTTGTTTCGTAAACATGTTCTTAGGGTGCTTGAACTGGGCTTCTGCACTTCAAGACGATGCACAATAAAACTCAATGAAACAACCAGAGCCACTCACTGCACTACTTCAACTGAACTTCTGTCAGCTACAGATGGCACTAGTGCCACCTGACCCATATATTTCATGTTATAGCAGTGTTGCCACTACTTTTTATCCAACCCTTGTATTAACGGACCAGTGAAAGATACAGCCAAAGGAAGATAAAAACAAAAAGTGAAAATAAATAAATGAAGTTCAAGGGAAACAAAAGAAAGAAAAATGGGAAAAGTGAAAGGAAGCAAACAAGAACAAAATAAATGCTGCATATATTCTTCCAGTTTTGCCTCAAATGTTTACAGTGAGGTTGATAGTCAGTGTTAAGAACTATTAAACTTGTATCTCACAGCAGTAACTACAAAAATGATTGTCCTCTGGGATGTGATGACATGTAGTCTGATACTGTCATGTGTATTAGTGACTAAGATGGGGTTCAGATCAGTAATTGATTTATTAACCACCTACAGGTTGTAACTA